CGGGTAAGCGTTTAGTAAACAACCCCTTAGTGGTACCTGGTTTTGTGGATTTATGCAATAGAATAGGAAGAAAAATGAATCGAAACGGACCTAATTGGTAAGAAAAATGAAGAAAATCAAGAAAGTAGACACCGTGATCCGGGTTGGCACACGGGCGGGTGCAACCCGCGTGTCCAACAGAGCCTGGTGGATCCTCATCCGATCAATGGGCTGCTTGGTGTTTTTTGTTGGGCCATTTGATTTGGTTATTGGACTAATGTTTTGCACCTTTAGGCTGTCTTTAAAAGTTTAAATTAATTCTACAAAAAAGCCCAAGATTTGTTTTAAAGTTTTAAATAAATAATTACTAATTATCTATACTATATTATAAAACATTTGATAAAAATTATTAATATCATTTTTTATGCACGAAGTACTGTTTATTGATGTATATTACTTAAAATTTAAGATTACAAGTAAAATATTCATAAGTACAACTTATTAAAACTCCATATTTGAATTCATGTAACTAACTGCAGATAAACATAATCAAATATTGGATAAACATCTTATTTTAAATATAAAAAATCTAAAATATAATTAGGATAATAATTGAGTTCTAACAGAATACTTTATTATTATCTAAAATAAATTATTTCATCATTAAACTTAAATTAAATCATAATAATTTTTTTAAAGAAATTACATAAAAAATGAGAACTTTTAAATAGTTAATTTGATATTAACATTGATATATATTTTTTTCAAATTTATGTTTTTCAAATTTGATATTAACAAAATTTTAGGGCAGGCCGAGGTAGACATGGCAAAAAACCGGTCCTGGTCCCGACCCAAATACGAAGGCCCGGTTATAAGAATCGGTCCCAGACTGGGTCCAAGCAGGTCCTATGTAAAAAAAATTAATATTTGATTTTTTATGTAATTTTTTGGAAGTTACTTTTAGAGGATACAAAAGTTCATATATATATATAGGGGCCTATTCAAGGGAGAACTGAGTTGTTTGTGGTAACTGTGAGAACCAATATTAACCATAATCAATAGATAAATTAGGAAATTTATAAATTTGGTAATTTTAAATTAAAATCTTAATGCAAGGATATTTTTGGTATTTTAAAACTCTCCTCTCT